AGAGAAGATTGTATATCTTAGGATTTGGATTATAATTTATATGTAAATTTTAAGAGATTCATAATTGAGATGAAAGAAAATTAGTTGTTTCAAGTTAGGGTGTGGATTTCAAGTATATTCTCAATCTTTTAAAGATATAAAGGAGTTGTATGGAAGCTTTTAAAGATTAAAGGTGCAGTTGTAAAGTTGATTTCAAGAACTATGTCTTACATAGAAGAATTATTATATCTAAAGTTTGAATAGAGGAGATATAATGAACTGAAAGTAATAAATTTAATTTTGGTAACTTTTAAAAATACATCATTACTTTTAAAAAAAATTGAAACCATTTGGATAGCTGAATTGAAAGATATAAATTTTTGGATTTTGAAAAAAATGCTCATTTTAGATAAATAAGATTTAATTTTTTTTTTATATATGTTTTGGATATTTTTGTATATTTAAGACTTAAATATTTGATGTAATTGCTCATATAGAAAAAATATTTATATTAATTTGGAATTTTTTTATTTTAAAAATTGATTGAATAATTAACATTAGCTAAAAGTTTAATGCTTTCTTAAAATAAATTCTCTCTATTTTTATAATACTCTCTCCCAACACTAATATTGATAGCACTTGAAAAGATAAAAAGTACAAGACTAATATTAATAGTACTTAGAAAAATCAAAAGTACAAGATTAATATTAATAGCACTTGGAAAAATTAAAAGTACAAGACTAATAACTTCAAGTACTAAAAGTATCAATTCAAGACTAAATAATTGCAGAGCAAGCATGATCATGCATAGCAATAGATTTCTTAAGTTTGCAAGCATTGAATATGTATCAACATTTGTCATACTTAATTTTATTATTTTTTTTAAAAACCTTTTTTTTTGTACATTAAAATACTTAAATTTACAAAATTTTCTTTTGGAAGACATTATCTTCTTAAATCTTCTTTTTTATACTTAAACTTATATATCAAATTCCATAATTCTATTATAAAAATTATTTTTGAGTTCAAAAAATTAATTAGGCCTATTTTTAATAAGTGAACATTTATCAAGCCTATCTTTAAAAAAAATCTTGTAATACCATAAATTTTAATGTAATTATTATTCTTTTAAAATATTATCTTCATTGATTTTAGAAGTAACTTTTTATTTGTAATATTACTTGATTTAAATATTTCTAATATTTTTTTTCACATCATCCATTTTTGAAGTGATTATTGAAGTTATCTAAATTATATCTATCTTGATGCTAAATAATCACATCAACAAATGTTATTAGTCTCTTATAATATTTTTGAAATTTTTTATTTTATTTTATTATTTAAAATCTTTAAATATTTAATTCACATAGAAGTATCTAAATTTTTTATGTATTAAAACTTTGATTCTCACATCATCAATTTTTACTGTTGTAAAAGTGTTTTATATAAAATAGTTTTAATTTTTTTCAAAAAAATATTAAAATTATAAAATCATCAAAATTAAATATTATTATATATATATATGTGTTAAATGTTTAGAACAAATACTATTGTGCTACATATTTTAGCAATAATATTAATGAAAAGAATAATAAACATCTATTTCACCCAGTATGTGATTATTTATGCTTACAAAAGTGAAATTTTTGAGAGGTTCCATACCTGTGGTTTGTTGAAGCAATCTTATCTTTTAAAACCTATAATAATCCAAGTGCTTCAACAAGTGTGATTCAAAGAAAGTTGATAATATCGATTCTTTAATTGAAATATGATATAACAATATCTAGCAATCGAGGAGGAAAAACCTCAACAATAATTTTTTCAAAAAATAATATTAATTTTTCTTTAAAACTAAAAATTAAAAATATTCATTCAATATGGAGTGAAAGAAGGAAGACATAGCACAATTTGTGACTACAATACATCCATTTTGTAGAAATGTAAATACGTGCAAGATATCCTTGAGCAATGTGAATCAAATTAAATGCTTTTTTAGAGTAAAAAACTCAAGAATTTTTCTAGGCTCTATATTATTGCACATGCCAAGTAACAATTGAATAATGACATTATAGAGGAGAATTTTGACACATGGAATAAAAAATAAGACTAAAGACTTTACAACAAGTCTACTTTTCTACTACATGAGATGTCAATCAGTGGTTGTTCTACTTCCACATGTAAGTCCTTGAGTAGCATTTCAAGCCACATAGCCTCTTTTGATGAATTGACTAATGCTCTATATTTTGCTATTGATGATTATAAAGCTACCATGGGTTGTTTTTTAGATGACCATGATATTGGAATTGTACCCATATTGAATATGACTCCAATGGTGGATTTGACTTGTCTTATATTCCCAATCCAATCAAAATCCAATCAAAATCCAATAACTTGAAAGATTTGTTTGATTGTAGTTTGAATATGATGTTCCATAATTTTAAGTACTCTTGATGTAACATAATATTCTTTTGGCTATTAATAAATGAAATTATTGAGGTCTTGCCATAAATCTACTTACAAATCTTCTTGCAAATTTTATGTCCAATTGGATGTAGATCAAATGTAATCGTTTTCCTACAATATAACAATAATGTATAGTGTCTATTTCATCCTCCATATCTATTTTGAGTTTTTTTTTTTTTTTTTTTTTTTTTTTTTTCTCGTCCATGGAAATTATTGTAGATGCACAATTCTCCATTCCAAAATTTGTCAATATATTTTATATATAAGCCTTTTGGATCATAAATATTCCTTCTTTTACCTATATGCATTTTGTTTTTAAATATAGAGTAACTTTCTTTTTTGACAATTTTGACATTTCAAATTTTTCATATATTTTTTTCTTCAATTTGATTAATTTTTTTATGCAATTTCTCATCATAAGAAGATTATCTCCATATAGTGCAAGAAGAATAATTTTGCCATGTGATATTTTTGAATATAGATTATGATCTCCATTGTCTTGCTAAAACTTGCTTCTTTTAGGTAGGAGTCTAATTTTTTGTACCATATTCAAAATAATTGTTTTAATTTATATGATACCTTATGTAGTCTATGTACCATTTGTTCCTTATTGTTCATGATATAATTTCCAATTTTTTTGAGTGGCAATCAATATCATGGCTGTAATCATTGCCCATTTTATTACTGGTGCAAATATTTCTTCATAGTCAATTCTCTTTTTTTGTTCAAATTCCATGGCAACTAATCTACCTTTATGTTTTTGAAGTAATCCATCCGTATTTAATTTTTCTTTATAAATCCATATTGTAGAAATTATAAATTTACCTATTAAAAGACTTGTGAGATGCCACATTTCATTTTTATGTATAGAATTCATTTTCTTTTTTTCTATTGCTTGCATCTAGCTTTTGTGTTTTGAAGCTTTGTAATATGAATTCGGTTCTAAATTTGAAATCTACATAAGCCCCACAAAATAGTTCTAGAGATTTGTTTTGAAAATTCACTCCCATAGGTAGTCTATATAATAAATATATTGTACTTTTTGCTATGTTTGGCTATAAATAAATGGACAATTTTTCATGCAATAACATACTTCAAACTTTTTCAATGATGGTGCAATTTCTTCTTTCAACTACCCCATTATATTGGGGTGTGTATAGCTATGTATATTGGCATGTAATGCCATATTTTAAACAATAGTTCAAGAATTCTTGTGAGGTAAACTCTCCCCCATTATCCATTCTTATTTGCTTAATTAATTTTCCTGTTTGTTTGTCAATCATGGTTTTAAATTCAACAAATTTACCAAAGGTTTGGCTTTTTTTTTTAATAAAGCAATTCCTAGAGTAGTCATCAACTAGGAGCAGAAAATATTTTGTACCTGACAATGACCCCACCGGAAATGGTCCACATAAATCTGCATGTAACAATTCTAAAATTTCTTGTGATCTACTTGCTCCTTATCTAGATATTGGTTCTCAAGTCTGCCTTCCTTTGAGGCAATACTGACATATAGTTATAGTTGCATTAAATCCAGGAGTGTGTTCAGAATTTAGTATCATAAGTGTTGAATTTCATGCGTGCCCGAAGCGGCAGTGCCATAACTAGGTAATTTCTTTTAATGCCTGTGATATATTTACAGTATTAATTTTGAAATATTGTTCGAGAGTTCGACTGTGATTCACTAATATTGTCGGCTGTGGGATCTTGTCATTGATCAGTTTGTATAGGTTGGATCGTTCATCCAAGTAACCCAATATAGCTACCTTTGGTAGATTTGTTCGAGTTACAGTAAAGCATTGATTCCTTCCAAAAACAATCAAATAACCTGTATTTCGGACATACTCTCCAACTGATAGAAAATTTTGCTTCAGGCCCGATACATAAAATCATCGGGGAGGCAATTTGTTTCTTCGTTTTGAACCATTATGTCCACATTTCCTTGTCCTCTCACACTATGCGATTTGCCATCTGCGGTAGCAACCGCACCGTGTTGGGACGGTGATTCCAAATTCAAAAAAACACTCTGACTTCCTGAAAAATGGCTTGATGCGCCGCTATCGATAACCCATTCCTTATCCTGCGATGATACTATTGAAAGAACTTGCAGAGCCTTCTGAATTTCTTCCGATGTTGGAAAGTTACTCCTCGAAATTTCTTTCGCACTGTTGGCTCTTGATTGATGTTGATTTGGTACTGGTGCTCTACAAAACCAGGCTATATGCCCTGATTTACCGCATCTATGACACACTTGTTCGCTTCTTCGCTCTCTGTACTGTGATCAGTTTTGTGGTCCTCCCTTACAAAACAAGCTACTTGATGAGCTCGCAGTTCGATGTCCGAACGTAGTCCTGAACTTGTCGATGTTGTTGTTCCTGAAATTTAATACAAGTGCCTCTCCGTTCTGCTCCTTGCGCTGTTTAAACGCCATCTCTTCGATGTACAAGCGACTCGCTAGATTTTCTAGAGTTGGTGCATCCTTCTCGGATCGCAGCACCCTTACAAACGTTTCGAATTTTGCGGGAAGTATTTTCAATATTTTATGAACTGCCACTATATCTGATGGAAGTTGATTTATTTCTCTCATATCATTTATGAAATCATACACGTTTTGCATAAAAATTGAAATCGTCATTTTGTCTGTCATGCTGAGATTCTCCCACTTATCAAGGATTTTCATGACATCTGCCATTGTCTGAGTTGAATAAACATTAGCAAGTATTTTCCATGCCACTGCAAGATTAGTTATGGCTAAAATGTATGGTTTTACTATGTTTGTCAGCAAAAGTCTAAGAAAACCCATAGCTCGCATTTTTCTCCTTTTGATGAGTTCTTATTCTTATGATGTTTGTGGCGCCGTGTTGTTGTCAACTCCTTCAAGTGTGTCCATTTCTTCCAACTCGTGCTCCGTTGTGGTTGTGTTTGAAGAGGCTTTGTTTTCAGACGTTGCTCTCCTTGTACTATGTCTTTTTGACGTCGTTTCAATCGAGGCCACTACTTCCCATAGATCCTCTTTCTAATGCGCTCTGGATTGTACTCCTCCAAGACTTATAATTTTTTAGTCCCACTAACATCTTCGATTGCGCTATCACAAGATCCATTATACTCATGAAGTTACTCCTGTTCATCACTTTCTCTACTACCTGGTTTGCTCTGATACCACATTACACATGCCAAGTAACAATCAAGTAATGACATTATAGAACAGAATGACGACACAGGGGATCAAAAACGAGACTTAAATGTTTGCAACAAGTCTGCTTCTCCACTACAGGAGCTCTCAATCTTTACTGCCAAGAACTGCTTAGTTCATCTTTCTTATACAAATTTACCAGCGTGCAAAACAGATACCCGGTCTAGGTACATACCCAACGCGAGGGATGAGAAGCCTAGACACTAGGGCGTCTCGCTAACATATATTGCATACGATACCTTGAAACACACTCAGATACGATGAAAGTCTGCAAGTTAAAAAGATTGCTTATGTCGTTATGAACAAGTAAATTCTCAAATTCAAGCTGGAAACTTGAGAGGCACAATTGCTTACCGGAATGTTAACAATATGGAAACTGGAGTCTCCGTGCTTCCATGAGCCAAGGAATCATGCGGGCTTCCTTTGTGATCGATGACAATCTGCTTGCCGAGAAAATGAGTCGTAAAAGCGGATTACCAAAAGATCAACGGTCACTTCTCAGTTAGTATCGATTTAATTAGATTGTTCGGTATCCAGCTAAGGAAATAATAATGTACACGTGCAACCTTGGTGGAAGGAAAGGCTCGCCTTCTGGAGATTGTATTTAGATGCTGCCCCAAGGAAAAAAAATTGATTCCTATATAATCGTGTTTCCGGTGCAATGGTTCCAAAGTTGGGCACTTTTCCTGCCATGAAGTAACGCTCTCATTCTAACGAGGTTTGTGACTTGAGCTCGCAATGCTGTCATTGCCGATAGAAGGTCTTGAAGACTGATGGCCCTCGAGCATTTTCACTACCTGAGCCATACTCGGTCGATGAGAGGGTAGACTGCTTGTACAAAATAGTGCAGTGTCTACAAACACGGCCACTTCTTCATCAGGGCATGTGCCTACCAGCAAGCCATCTAAAACTACTGCAAGATTTTTCTCGTCAATCATGTTGCGGACCTGCAGCACAACAGTAATCTCGTGAACGTTCTAACAAGTGAGAGCAAGCTTCTTTTTTAGGTTGAGCAATAAGGAGATTTTCTGAGCTCACAACACTAAAAAAAGGTCAGTTTCTTACTGATTGAGGAAGACTAATTCCACTATCTTTGAATAAATTGTCACAAGGATGTCTTCCGGTGACAAGCTCTAAAAGAACAACGCCAAAGCTGTAGATATCCACTTTCTCGGTAGCAAGGCCGGTGGCGACGTACTCTGATGTTGGATACCACACACATTCAACCGTGAAATCAAAACTTTGTATCGTCAACAGGCATCATATAAAAATACGACTAAAAAAAGGACCTGAAGCACCATTAGACACAAGCATTAGAGTTCTTACCAGGGGCAAGAAACCCGAGAGTTCCCGCCACCATCGTAGTGACATGTGTTTTATCGAGGTCCATAAGCTTTGCGAGTCCAAAATCAGACACACGGGCCTCTAGGTCAGCATCTAAAAGTATATTACTGCTCTTGACGTCTCGGTGAATGATTCGAGGGACACAATCATGGTGTAAGTACGCCAGGCCTCGAGCAGCTCCAATCCCTATCTTCGCTCGCGTATCCCAATCCAGAGGCTGTAGTCCTGCTGCTTCGTATTCTGCTTACATGAAAATACGCACCTTGTCGAACACCTCTGAGTTAACATCGGCCTGTTGAACAGACATGAGACGAGCAGTACAAAATAGTAGGGGATGATGACGCACCATATAACCATGTGTCCAAGCTCCCGTTCCCCACCAGGTCATAAAGAAGAATGTTGATATTTGGTGCACTGTAATGGCCACGAAGTGTAACCAAGTTCTTGTGTTTAAGATCTGCCAGGGCCTCCAGCTCTCTTTCGAACCCTCGATCTCGGTCAATTCCGCGGATCAATTTCTTGACTGCAAGTGCAGTTTGATCATCTAGGACAAGCCTATACACCGTACCAAAGCCACCGGTTCCGATTATGTCTTCAGCAGTAAGCTTCTCGATTTTCTCCATTAGGACAGTCGTTGAGAGATTCGGTTTACCCGCCATTTGAAACAATACCACCTTTCCACCTACATCCAAGGTCGGAAACCATTTCCAGAGTTTCAAATGACACTTACCGTTGCAAGAATGATTACGAACTTCTTTTTTTCATCTGTGTGTGCAAATGGTTTGTTTGTCATTGTGGCACAAGCTGACCAACGCCATGAGCACAGTTATGGAAACGCTGAAGCGATGAACACTATTTGAAGCTTATTCAATGCATATTCAAAGCTCATCTACGGATAAAAAGAGGTTGTACCAGAGAGTTTGATTTCACAAACGTTACGTTGTCGTGTACGCCGCCAATACCAGAGACCACCTAAAAACAGCTTGGATATTGCAAGAGTAGCAACACAAACGATGACGATGACAACTATGCTGAGCTTCTTGTTCTTCACAAATTGCACTCCGCTGCTCTTGGAAACCGCTGCCACACGATATCAACTCATAAGAATCCAATGAGTATGGCCAAGGCAAATTTAGGAATAATTATGAACAACAAGCGCACCTCGAAGAGTCGAACAAGCACTACCTTACATGCTGAAACTTCTTATATATACAATATCACATACACTCACCAAAAACGACGGGAGAAGCTGCATTAATAGTAGTGTCGGTATTTTCCGCGATTGATCTTCTAGTATCACAAGCAAGAGTGATGGGAAGGCCGCAAAGATTGTTGAGCTGATATCTGGTTCATTGCAATCAATCACATAGAAAAATAACTCCAATCTTGCATGTCGCGAAATCTGGATTGTATTCACTATAACCGTAGATTTCAAAGGTAAATTACCACAGGGATTAAGGTTGGCTTACGAGGCAATAGAGAGGGATGACAGCACCCCTCCTTGTGGCAGAAGCCCTTGAAGATGATTCATTGACAAGTTTCTGCAATAGTTATGAAAATTCTTGACAAATTATTAGAGGAAAGCGAAAGAATTCTCAGAGAAGAATACACGGGGATGGTTGGTGGTGTGCGTATTTCAGAACATGTTTTATGAACACTGAATATTAAATTTTAATAGTCTGCTCAACTGAAAACTTCATAATCATACCTACCAATCTCAAATGTAAAGCCACGTTGAGGATTTCTTCCGACATGCAGAATTGTAACCCAAACCTTACTTACAGAGTCAAAAGTTGAGTCAATTGATTCAAGCTGCTCGGTATTGCGCCTTGCAACTGGTTATTTGACAGGTCTCTGCAAATCCCCATCATTATCATTAGTGAATATAAGTGATTACCCTTTTTGAAAGCTAACACATAAAACAGAATCAAACGATGGGCATGTGTCTCAACGCATACAATTCCACGAGATTTTGTAACAGGCCCAGCTCTGAAACACAGGGAATCGTGCCCGACAACTTGTTAGAATTCATGTTTCTGCAAGATTAACGAAAGGTTCAATGGACGTTACTTATAAGATCTGCATTTCCTCCAACTTGTATCCATCAATCCAATGAGTACTATCCTGAGATTCGAAACACCAAAAAAGCAGGAATAGCCACTAAGACACAGGGAATATTACGTACAGACTTTTTAAGCTCCTGGAGCACCCCCAATGTGACGGTATTTCACTCTCCAAATGGTTTGTTGATAAGTTTCTGCGGAATCCGACAGGCATCTCAGATGTTCAGAATAAATTGAAAGGAGTACTTTTTTCTTGTATGCATGGATATTAGCTCATATAAAGACAATACAAACGTTTCTTTTCGCCAACTTACAATGCTTGCAGCCACTTAAACTTGCTCGTATCCAGGGTTAAATTGCCGCGTAGTTTCCTGTCTGCCAAATTTCTACACCTTGTGATTGGGTATTAGCGTACTTATCAATTTCGAACGACCTGATATTTGAGAGTGTTCTAAGGTTCGAGATTCATAGCATTGTGCACAATGAGCAGGTCCGCCATCAAGCAGGAAAGGGTGGAGAGGTGCTCACATGACCAACACGTAAAATTCGTTGGAACACTGGATACCAGTCCAGTGACAAGGTGTTGTGTGTGACGAGTTCCAATCCTCAAGGCCGCTTTCGCCGACAGCGGCATTAGAAACAAAGTCAAGAAGAGCATAACCTGCACACAATTTGATAGCTGTCAAGCCCATACAAGAAAAAGAAAATGTAAAACTATTACTTGCGTATCGTCTGCATTGAAAGGTAGCATCGCTAGTTCTAATTCATGTGGGTGTTTGAGAAAAGAGGACACGTTGGGGTCTAACAATGACGAGATTACAACGGCGAAAGATAAAAAAGAAAAAAGAAAAAAGACTGCTTAAATCTGTAGGGTATGAGTTGCAAGTATCTGAGTGAATAAGGGCCGAGCTAAGTCGAACCTGAAAACCTTTCTCGACATCGGACATGTACGTATGACGCATGCACGTGAACACATTTCTCAAGTAGAGCCCTATACAGAAGATGCGATGTCGATATTACCAAACAGACAGCAAAAAGTGACTGCTCTGACAAAATGTAAAATATGGAGGAAAGAACACCTTCAGAATTCAAAGCTGTGCTGGAAATCGGAATGAGGTAAATGCAGAGGAGCATGACTATTATGCTCCATGGCCAAGCAACGAACGACCCCATCAAATTTGTACATTCTTGACTAATTTTGGAGAGCTGCTTCTGTTGACAAACCATCTGTCAGCCTATTCCTGTGATTGCTGCGTAATCCTGGCGCTCGGAACCGCAATATGAATGGTGACAATCCGCGATGTTTAGACTTAGCAGAGTAACTAGAAAGGAAATTTCAGAGGATGGCTAAATTTCTTTCCGAAGCCGGTCAAACAGTCAAAGCCTTATACATGCAGCGAACACAAGTATTCACAACGGAATCCGCCCTTCAAGACGCACTGTAAGGGCGCGATGCATGCAAGCGGTAAAAAAGTTACCCAGAACTCGATCGATTTGATCACGTTTTCTACCAATTTCTGAGGAACGAAGTGACAGACCAGGAAAGCCTAACCCAAAAACCTGTTCTGAGTAAACAGGACGTAACCCTCAACCCTCAGAAGTAATTACACATGATCACTCCCACAATGCTCCTAACCTCTACAACCGCAGCTTCACAGTAAAATGATATCGATCTGAAGAGAAGAAGATCGAACACGAATTTCCAGCCTGAATCAATCAACAAGAATCTCACCCAAGGACAATCTCACGCTATTTTATTCACCTTCTCAACATCCAAGTACACGTAGAATTCACGGACGTCAAAGATTACTCCAGACTACAAGAGAAATTAGCAAAGCATTCCAAAAATCCTTTTCATCAATGATTTCCTTAACTTCGGGTCGTTGCAGCAGAAGCAGCAGCAGCAGCAGCAGACTTGCAACCCCAGCGATGAGAAGTGCTTGGCAAACAATCGACTGAGAAGTAAAATTCCTACAGCAGAGCGACGGACCCAAAATACAAGAAGAACGACTCGACTGCTGCTGCTGCCGCTTTTACGAAGATACTCTTAGCGATCGGTGTGAAGCAGTAGCAGTGCTCGTGCTCACGCACCCTGATGGGGACGATCGACCCAACAACTCCGTGTTCCACTGTTCACTCTTCATATCTGAGCTTCGAGGCGCCATGCTTGTGCACCAAAAGACTAATTTGGTTGAAAATTAGCGATGTGTTCAGTTTGCGTAGCTTCGGGCACAACGTAGCCGATGGTTTCGGCAATGCTCGGGGAATAGCTCAGAAACGGATCGGGAAACAAATTGCGAGGGTGGGTGGGTTGCCTGCCTGCCTAGGAGGAGGAGGAGCCTCGAAAGCCACGCCTGATGGCCATTCTTACTCTGTTTTGCTGCGACGGCGTTGAATGTGGCTACCGACACCGAGACAAGGATGATGTAGATAGGCGTCGTTGGAGGCTGTTCTTATGGAAAAATTGGTTTTTTTGAATGATTTTTGAACACAGCGTATCTTTACTCCATGATGATGTTTCTGCATGATACCACATGGACGTTGCCTAAAAACCTTGGGATCAATATGTTTGTTTTTTTTGCTTTTCTTTCTGTTTTTCTTTCAATGTTTTGTGATACGTTTTTTGCGAAATTGCATTCAATAAACTTTTGAAAAACTGCATTGTATGTTTCAAAATATATACATGTATGTTTAAGTAAAAATAAATAATAAATAAATAAAATTCACAAGTTTTCATAATATTTAAAGCAAGACTAAAGTATATCTTGCTAGCTCTTTTTTTTGTAAAATAGCAACTATGTTTTTGAACTCTAAATCTAACAACTAGCTTATAGTATAGATTCTAAAAGTAATAGAAAATCGTAAAATTTTCTATTTAATCTTTTATAAAAACTTTTACAAGACTGTAGAAGGTCTTGAGTAGTTGTGGGAAATAATATTAACTTTTGGAAGGTTATAAAAGGTTCTCCAAAATATTTACAATTATGAAATGTTTTAGAATCTTTTAAAAATTCTACAAATCTACAAAACGTAGTTGATATATCTTTCGGATTTTAGAAGGGTCTAAAAAGTTCTAAAAGGTACTTAAAAGCCAGAATTTTTTTTTATGTCTAGCAATATTCTTTTTACTAGCAACATATTTAATAATTATATTTAAACACATATTTAATAATTATATTTAAACACATATTTATTTATGTATCTAAATATATTTTAAAATTTTAAATATCTTCTAATTAACATATATAATTTTTTGGTATTTATAAAATAAATCAATGAATCTATTTGACCAACAAATATGGTTGCAATTATTTAACATTGATAAACTCATACCAATAACTTGGTTAAAATTTGGACTTCAAAACACCCTTGAAAAACAACTTTGCCATTGTCAATTTTAATAGTCTTATCTTCTAGTACTATAGTAAAGGTTTGAGGGTTTTTTTTAAAGAATGTCTAAAATAGCTATTTGTACCAAGCTCATATTCAATGTTCAAAAGGAATAATATCATTTTAAAAGCATCAATATTATGATAAAGATTATAAAAATTGTTGGTACAATAATTGCAAAAAAAAGAGATCACATTCAAAATCTTTAATCTTTATAAAAATATACTAATTTAACAAATATAATCTACAAAAATAATTTTAAAGCACCTTTAGTTGTAAAAAAAATGAGAAACTAATGACATTTTTTAAATGTTTTGTTTCTTCTTTCTCATGCATGCTTTAAAGGACAAATATTTTTTTTATTTATAAACCTTCATTGGTGATTAAATGATAAATTATATATTTATTTATTAACTATACATTCTTCTAATATATATCTAATATATACCTGATATATCTAAAAATTTGGCAATCTAAAAATTTAATAGATATGTAATTTTTTTCTTCATTAAAAATAGACTTGGTACACAAGATAAAATGATTTATTTTAATGAAAGGTCTATAAGTAATAGAACTAAAACATTTTCATTGGTATTTAAATAATTTATAATAAAAAATTTAGCATTATAAATTCAAAAATATAAAACATATATTTTAAATTTAAAATTAATAAAATTATTCTACAAAAAAATTCAATTATTTATAATTTTTTTAATATAAATTATTATTTTTTATAATAAAAATCCAAAAACAAATTGGCTTATTGTTGTCACCATACTGTAAAAATAAAGAATTGGATATATAATTAATCGTGATCAATTTTTTAAAATTTTATTTTAGATATATTTATAATACTATTGGTATTAATTTAGATTAGTCTTTAATATTTTAAATATTTTTTACGATTATTATTTCTATTTGATAATGATAATTTTTACTTTTATATCAATTTTTTTAATATAGATAAAAATTTAAGTTATTTTTCACAAGACCAAATATTAAAAATTATTTCAAAAGATTATATCTATTTTATATTTTCAAAAATTTTCCTTGGATTTATAGATTTTTTTAATATAAGATGATTTAAATTTTTAACCATATGTGTATATATATATATATATATATATATATATATATATGTATATTCTAAATTAAAAAATAAGTTACATATATATATATATATATATATATATATATATATATACAACTTATAAAAAATAATAAATAAAGTATATAACAAATAACTTATATGTATATATATATATATATATATATATATATATTAAATTAATAAATAACTTATATTTTTATTATTTTTGAAATACCAAAATTATATAATGCTTGTAATATTTTTATTTTTAGAATATTATAAAATATCATTTAAATAGTAGATCAAAAAAATCTATGAACAATTAAAATCTTTCAATTAAATATTTTTAAAGAATAAAAAAATACATACATAAGTCTCAAAGAAAAAAATATGAAATAAAAGTAGAAAAATCCTGAGTTATTGATTGATATTTCTTCTCTCTCTACATCCTTTTAGCAAGGTCTTGCAACACATGGAGGATTGGCTCTATAGTTGACTTGACATAATGCATATTTTTTTTTATGTCTAGAAAACCAATCTTATTCAAAAATATCAAAATGATCTCTCTATCTCTTCTCATTAAGAATCACCTAAATCCTCTATATGTGTTTATTTTTATATTCCAATTAATATTGCTAAGATAAGATTTGTTAATTTTTTGTCTAAATTTAGCTAGCATCTATCTTTTTATTAACTAATCAAGAACAAAAAATAAAAGTTCTTAAGATAAATAAAAAATAATAAAAATAAATTTTATAGTTTTATATTTTTTATTTGGTTGATTTGTCTTTGAAGTGACTAAAAGAATAGAAGTTGATTGAAAAAAGAAACCATGGCTTTTTGCACTAATTAACTTTTCTACATCATTTACTATTATAAATATTAAAAAATAAAGAAATTATGGTGATGTCAAAATCAATATTTTAGTTCTTTGCAAATAGCTAAGTTCTTGAGGTTGAAAATAGGTTAAATTTATAATGTAGTTGAATCTACTTATAAAAAAAATTGATGTAAGAATTTTAGTGAGATATTTATTAGTTTTAAAAGAAGTTGGTTGACCTTATAGAATTGAGTAGCAAAGTTAATTTTTATATCTTTTATTATTACTATAAATATTTTTAAATATGATTTATTTATTTATTTTAAAATAATATCATATTAACTTAAAGCCATAAAAAATATCTCTAGTTTGAAATTGATGATTTCTAATTCAACTTTAAAGAATTAGCTTAGTCTTTGCTCTTTAATATTCCTTCTACAAGTATTCTAATTTAGCTTCTTCTTCTTCTTCTTCTTCTTCTTGTTTTATCTCTAAAATGATTATATTACCTACTACTTATTATTGATTTTCTATCAAAGCATCTAACTTAAATAATATTTACTATTATCTTTTCTTATCACTTTTAATTTATAATGGCTTCTAATCCAAAATTAGATATGTAATCTTAAGCTATTGCTAAATATTATTGTTTAATTTAGTATTATTCTTATCTTATTAATAGATTAATATTTTATTAGCTAATATTTAATTAAGTGATATGATAATTTTTTCTTCTATTATGATAATATTAAGTAATCTTTTGAACTTCTTGATATTATCTTGTCTTTTTTTTTGCCATGATGTTGATTGATTCTACACCTAATATTGGAATTTAATTGAGGCTTGATTTCTTTACTTCATTCATATAGAGTTAAAGCTGCATCTATGAAGCTTCTAAGAAGCTTTTCCACAAGCTATTATCAAATCTACCTATATTTATCTTGTATCTAATACTTCCTATCTAGGTAATTTATATATGTCCATGACAATATTACACACTTGATCTTATATACACAAATCTCTATTATCATACTAGTAATGATTTATTCTTTACATTGTTAATGGATTCTATAGAAATTTTGGCATTATCATTTAAAATATATAATATTTTTTATTTGGATATCCATCTTTGATTTAAAAAATATTATAAAATAAAATTAAAAAAATATATATTTTCTTAAATAAGTTCAAGTTCATCAAAGCTAATTTTTAATTTCTTTTAAATTTTCTCATTTCTACTTCTATCACATCTTGTTTGCAATAATCTATACAAAGTCTATTTGCATATTCTTAATATTTTGTTTGTATTCAAGTAAATATCTAATACTTCCAAATTTAATAAAAGTACACTACAAGTATTAAAAATCTTATTAGCTACATCTTTCAAATACAACAAACAAAGATTATTAGTTGTAAAGGCATGCATAGAAAATAAGTCTATAGATTGCACTCTATAAATAATTTCTACGTCTACTTTGCCATGCATAGTACAAGTTATTCCAAGGACCTCTAATTGTAATTAATTGCAATCAATTTACTACCATCGTCATCCACAAACCCATTAATATATAATAGCTCATTCAAACAACTTCATTTTAACATAGATATCCAAACAAAAATTTTCATATTTTTTAATGTTTTAACTATAGAACATATCTAATATATTAGAAAATTCTTCTACTTTTTTTCTTTTATAAGTTAAATACTTGAACTTCTCAAACAATAATATAACATATGCTTCAACCTAAAAAACTAGATAACTTAAACTAAGCACTTTACCCAACTTATATTATTTTAAGAAATGAGAGTATTGTGCAGATACTTTATCTTATCTTCAATTGCTCCATTTGTTTACTAAGGACATATTTCTTCTTGATATGTTTTGCTTTAGTGCTTTGAACTTGAGTAGCTTTGAACTTGAGTAGCACTTGCTTTCAAATTAACATGTTTCACTTTCTAGTTTATTAGAATCTAATGCACTGATGCACTCTCTACCTCCAAGTTAGTCATTTCTTTCTAGATTAAATTAAGTTTATCTAAAAAGGTTAATATGTCTTGGCTGATTTCTTTGAGAATCTTGAGAGCTCAGTTTAATACAATTCCTTACAAAGGATATATAATGTTTTGTTTGACTATGAGTGGTTTTGATGTCATCAAAAATAAATTCAATTAAAAAATATGAGATACAAAAACAACATTAACAAGGAAGAGATAGAAAATACATAGAATAATCTTATAAGTTGGTTGTGTTCTAACAATACTGTCAAAGTAAAAAGTAAAATTGTAAATTGCCTATGTTTATGCTTGACATCTAGATTGCAACGAATTAACTTTTATGTCACAATAGTAAAATGGAATTTCTTCATACTACAACATTTATTATAAAATAAGTACTTTATTTATTTTTGATAAAAAAGTATATTAATTTTTTTTTATTATGGGATGGATTATTTTGTGAAATAGTTCCAGAAAATTTCAAAAACATCTATTTGAAAAATTTAAATTTCTATTCAACAAATAAAAAAGAAAAACTATTGAATTTGAATTCTTTAATCAAAGATACAATTGAAACATTGAGTTATTTGTTTCCAACCAAAAGAGGATGCAAATTTTAAAATTTTCTTTGCTAATACTGTATAATTAGAATTAAAAGAAGACAATGGATGTTCAGTTACTTATGAGAATAATTTTATATACAAAAAAACAAATAAAAGCAAAAGAATTCTATCAATATGAACCAAACTTCCGTTGAAATGTGAACGGCAATAAAACTCTGGAACTGCACTTCTAAGGAATCCTTAGTGACTACGTCATAGTATCCACCTTCCATTACCATTACAAATACAAACCACTTCATTGGCTTCAACTTCTATCGAATAGAACAAGAATATATATCAACATCTACTGACCAACATTAAAATCATGAATTCTGAATCATAACAATACCATGTTGATTGTCGCAAACTATGAATTGCGCAAAGACACCTCATCGCCTGATTCTCTTAAAAGAATTTCAAGCTACTTAACCACATTGCTTCCATTCCGAGCACTCACAACTTCAGGCGGTTGTCCACACAACTTCTTTTCACGTTTAAAAAGAGATGCCTCAAAATCAGATCAGCACACAGTGAACTCCTCAGGAAACAATACACACCACGCATATGACCATTGACGTCCAATAAGTTTGCAGGCAGTGGCATTCAGCATCGCAAGAAAGAATGCGGATTTCAACCGATGCACATTATGATGATTATCGAGCTAGGGCCCTCTCAAATATCAAGCTGTTGACGTCCTCGACGTCTCGAACTTCGTCGCTTCTGATGCAGCTGTAACTAACAACTTCTAAAATTCATGTAGCAGCTGCGATTTCTGGCAGTGCTCAAACAATCTCTTAAACAGGAATTTGGGTAGTAACAGCATCCATCCCCCTCGGATCAACTCCTAAATTGGACAGTATGTCCCGATTCTCATAGCCCGATTGCAGCGACTCCAACAAGTCCACAATCCTTTCATTGTACCAAGAAAACATGCAAGCCAACGTGAGCTTTCCCCAGTAATGTTCGATCACAACCAACTCATAAGGACTACTCTTCTCAAGCCTCTTGAAACCGCAAACTCCGCCAAATGTCATGCAATGGATTGTCAACTCGCGGACATACCTTGACTGGGATCTAGTACTTCACGGTGAGCACCTCCTTCTTGCCAACCTTCACCACCAGACCCTTCCCCTCCTCACATGCCGTCAACGCCAGCACCTTCGAGCACTTGGGCTCGATGTTCTTCAGAAACTCGGCCAACTTGACCGGGAAGGTCTTCGTCATAGCACAGCCCTTGTTGTTCTTCACTAACACCCACACGTGCACCACCGGAACGGAGCACCCCACTTTCACGATCCCGATGGCGGTCCACTGCCCAGCCTTTGCCACCACAGCCTTCGCCGCATCCTCGCCTCGAACGATCAGCTTCACCGATATGTCCCTCGTCGCCAAGTTGTGAATGACGCACTTCAGAGAGAAGGTCGATTCCTTCTTCACGATGGGGCTACGACTAGGTGCGGGAACCGGAAGAGGCGCAGTAGCCTTGGGTGAGGGAGGAGGAAGAGGTGATATGTGAGCATCAGCCGCCACAGCTGCAGCCACGACGAGAATAGCAACGAGGAACAAAAGCTTGGTCATGGTGCGTGATCAAATCGCGGCTGATACAGAGAAGGGAGCAGAAGCGACTGCTGATCTTGGAGGTGGTCGCTCAACTGGTTGTGGGTAGGGGGAGGGGTTATGTACCGAGATGGTGAGGCCTCCAGCTGCGCCAAGTCGCGCGTCGTCGCTCCGGTTTCACAGAGAGATCAGGATATCACATGCACTCCGGAATGCATGCTCGGGAATGCCGCCGAATTCCGACAGGCTCCTGAAGGCCCCGTATATCTCCGACTGATGCTCGTTCAAGGATGGTTCGAGAACTTCTGGGGACGCGCGGAAGGAGAAGGGACTTGCTTGCGGCTGTTGGATGACACATCTGAAACCGTGGTGTTTCGAGAATCATGCTAACGTTTCCTTATCTCGGCTCACTGTGTATCCGTCGCGTTCAGCAGCCCACACGATGACATGCGGTAAGTTGTCAAGGGCTCTGAATTCTGGAGGATAGCTTCGCTGGCACTGTGGCATTTCCAGTCCCATGTTTTTCGTTAATATACTTGAACAGCGAGCACCAAGAGTTCAATTTCCTGAGGTTTAGTCTAATGTCACGTAAGATCGACCTGGAATAGCAACTTGAGACAGGTCTCATGTGATATTCCAAACAATTTGAACTAGTTTCTCGCTGCCCAATCCTGAAACCGCAAAAGTATTGCGGAGCTGAATGGAAGCCATCATTGGGTTTTCAGGTGCCCATGCCATATGGGTGAGATCAAGGGCTTTCCCTTCGCCAGCGCCGAGAACCACACCCGTCGACAGGCAGGTGGGGCGTTTCACATCGGAAACCACGATTCAGTGTGACGTTGTATTGATGCAAGCAAGTTGCTGGAGTGAAAGGGATCGGGGGCTGGAAGGTTCATCCGCCCTGAAATGAATTGGGCTGCTATTTATACACGGAGCAGTTAACCTCGAAAGCAGGTTCTGTTCAGAGAGCAGCATGCATGTTGCAGACTTATTAGGCTGCGCGTATCACAAGACAGTGCGCTGAGTCTGTTGTTGGGATGTTGATAGGAAATACTTGCATGATTTTCGTGTTGCTGATTCCTGTTCAGGTTCGTGCCCGTTTTCCCCTGATCCGATGTGAATGATCCGAGCGAGTGATCGATGAAGCAGGTCTTGTGACCGATGATAGCTTCATCCCACATGCGCAGGCGCGATGCTGGTGATGAGAAATTAGGCTGATGTTTTTAGGTGTCATTTATGCGAGATTTTTCAGAGCCACTCCATTAATGGCATATAGTGCTTGCTTGCTCGTTGTGCCGATGGAGAAACTCCGTGAGATAAAGTACTTTCCCGACCCAGTTTTTATGAATGTGTTTTGAAAAATGTTCAACCAGAATTGTGTGTTTTTTGCAGCTTTGATTGAGAATTGTTCCTCAGAGAGGTGGCTCCTCGGATTCAATCATGGAGTCATGGCGAAATTATGCATGGTGCATAACTTCAGGAGAGTTGGAAGCTCTTCAGAAACCTTTGGCTTTTGCGCATTTAGTTGTTGGAATGGGTGTTGAAACGTAATTTTATTCATTTATTTGTTTTTACCAATTTTTTTTTTGACTGAATTTTTATTTTGAATTGATTATATATATATATATATATATATATATATAAATAAAATGAAATATTTTTGCTTGTAACAAAATCCTAAAAAAAGAAATTATTAGAATAAAGCAAATTGTATTACTTTAAGCATTTACTTAAAGCACATTGTATTACTTTAATAGATGACTTGCTTATTTTATTTTCCTATTTAGAATCCTTGTCATTTTGTTTAGGGGTATTTTTTATATCTATTTTTTTATGGATAAGAATTAATAATTTTCTTGATAGTAGTTATTCATAATCTTCTTTTGTAATGATATGAAATGATTATGATTATTGAAAATCTATAATAGACACCTAATTCAATAAATGACATAGTTTTTGTCTTAAAGCATAAGTTTAGTCTAAAGCATAGAAAGATTTTATCTATTAAATCAAAAGATTGTTATGTACTTGTTTAAATACCAATTAGTAGTATTGATCTTATATTTTTATTAATTATTTGTAACTTAAAATGATTTTTTAAGTTGAATAAAGACAAATCTTTAATGAAGATTGGTGCTACTTAAGCAATCAAATGCTTTTGCATTTTTTTCTTAATATAATGTATTTTGTTGATTATAAATCTTTCAGCTATAATATTTTATTGTCTATCTTGCATTTAGTTGTTTGGCTCCTTCAATATCTTTTTATAAGTTGCTAAGAATTGTATTAATATTGTAGTTAGTTTACATTTTTTTTTGTACCTAATATATAATTGTTGGGTTACAATAATAAATATACTTGTTGTAAGATTTAAGTCTAAAAAATATTTTATTACTTTTAATTCATAATTATAGTCTATTAACTATATTATACAATAATACTATACGCTATTTTTTCAAAATTATATTATGATGAAAATCAAATGAATTATTATTTTTACATTATTAGCTAAAATCAATTTTTTAAAATTAATGATAAAATTTAATAATATTTTTTTTTCTTATATTTAGTTAAAAAAATAGATAGAAGAGTTTTTAGAATAATTAAAAAACTTTAGACACATTTTGATGATTTTTTTATATTATAGAAATATTAAGCTATTATACTACTCTTATAATTTATTTATTTTTAATCATGATTTTAATTTTTAATTGTCACTACATTAACATTTAATAGACTACATTAACATTGTTACTAATTTTTCTTACCAAGCTAAAAATATACTATTGGATATTTTTTACTTATATTATTTTAAAAAATTAAATTATTTAATAAATATTATTTTAAAAAAATTACTTATATTATTTAAAAAAATTTATTTTGTGATTTTTATCAAATTTATTTAATGAATATTATCTCAACATTATCAAATTTATTCAATGAATATTATCTCAATGTTTCATCCTCAAATTACTTTACATCCAAATTAACAACTTTATCTAAGTATTACATCTCTCTAAACATTTCATTCATTTATTTGATTATGCATCTATATTGATCTTCACATCTTTCTTATCTTTCCATGTAAGATTCATCCATCATAATTGACTGATTAAATAACAATATCATCTAAGTAAGAACCAAAGGAATTTTGATACTTCTAAATCTATTGCTACATCCATCTTTACAAATTAATTTACTAAGGTTGATTGTAAGCTCCAAATTAAATCCACCTAGTTTGGTTAAAAAAGAGATTTAAAGATATATCTATCTTTTAAACTTTGTTTCTATATTCAATTATATGATTCTAAAATTGCCCTTGATAGTTGATGCTCCAATTTGATAAAACATCAAATTCTCTTCTACAAAATTGAGTGCCACAACTTGTCCTTGATTGTCTTTTAGTAAATTTATTTTTATTAAATTTTGATTTCTAATAGCAGCTTCTCATAAAATTTGAGTCTTTAGATTACAATAATACTCTTAATCTTATTCTCCAAAACTAGGTCTTTCTTTGATCGCTTAAATTCCAAGGCAACAAATACTTTGCCACAAGAATCAACTTTCCCATTACTTCCTAGCTCAAATGTAATCCATTCTTAGTTTTTTGCAAATAAGACGTTATTAGCTCTTTTAAGAAAAAGATTTGATTGTTTTTTTAATAGATTTAATGCTGGCATAAATGAGTTTCTAAGTTGAGAAGTAGTGTTATGGTTGTAGGCAATTAAAGATATATTGTTGAAGTAATTACTTGAAAAATCCATTTTCTTAATATTGAAGTAATTTCTTGAAAAATGAACCAGTAGAAAATGTCCCATTAAAATGATTATTACTGATATATCTATTTCTTATATCAGAAATAATCATTTTAAAAATTATTTTAAAAAGACATGCACATGTTTTTTACAAAGATAAATCTTATAAATACTCTAATTCTATTGTTGCATCAATACTTTAAAAGTTGTTTTGACTTACATCCATTTTACACAATGCTCTTTAAAATATCTATTAAAAATATCATATAAATAATTACATCTACATGCACATATAATTTGGAATGTGAATAAATATAATTTTTCTTAATTAGTTAATTAACTATAGAAAGAAAAAAAAAGATTGAATTATAAACTATAGATTATAATTTAAACATATGCAAAACCTCCTCTAAAAATAATCCATTTAATTTTTTGTTGTCCAAGTATCTACCAATATGAAATTTAAGGAATTTGAAATTATAACAGAAAATACATAAAAAGATATAATATTTTTTAAAAAAGAAAGAAATATAAGATAAAGATTTTATATTATATATAATGAAGGTATGTAGATATGTTGCTTCAATTGAATAAAATTCTAAAATCCACAAAAATTGATAAATTAGATGATAATCAACTTATAATTAGATAAATACTAGTAATTACGGTTAAAATAGCAACCGATTAAAAATACGCCACTTAAAAAGATAAAAAAGGTGAAGACTTTTTAATTTATATATTGAAGGCATGTAGACATTGCCAATTTGTTTTGGTTGATAGCTACTCTACTTTTCAATAAAATTAACAAAATTGATAGTAATAAACAATTCTTTAACAAATACAACTTCTTAGGATTGAAATAGGAACTAGTTGAGAATGTGCCACTCAAGCGATTATTTATAAGACCTCTAAGTATTAAAACAAACACAATCTAAAGGTTAACATTATTCATAACATTACATTCTTTACAAACTCTTACACACACCTTCTTACATTTTTTTCCTCTTTTTCAATCTTTTTCACATTGTGTTTTGCTTTTACATACTTAGTTCTTTCTTTGTATCAAAGAATGTTTTTAAATCAAAATCAAATTTCCATATTAAGATCTATTATCAATGCATCAAGATAAACACTTTTATTAAGATTTAATTTTTAGAATCCAACTTTTTATCGCAAACATTACAATAATACTTATCACATCTTAGATTGACATTAGAAAAAACTATAATCTATTTCTAACCAAGAAATATGACTAAAAAGACAAGAATGCTCTTACAATAATTTGATATTATTGTTAGTACTCAACTTATTGAAATCTATAGGTCCATCTAGTTGATTATAGCTTACAACTATGCACAATCCACTCCATACGAAATATTTAGATTATCATTCTTAAAAATAAACCTAAAAACATGATAGACTAATGAAGTATTGTCCCCAGATTGACTCAAGAACAGCTTACAAGTCTTCCAAATTTGGACTGAAGAAAGATCTTTCAGGGCCTAGTTCCAACCTCCCCCTAAAATTGTTTTCCTGTAAATATCTGGAAATGCAAGCAACTTTGATTTTATATACTTCAATTACAAGACTTAGAGAAGTTACTTTAAATATAATAACAACGATGGTGAAACATAAAACAAGCCCATTCATATTCGTTGCCACTCCCTATCAATTTCAGACCTGAATCCTGAAAGTGTACTCATCTTACAATCCTGTCAGTTTGGAGGTAGAGTTGAAAGACGTTGACGACAGTGTTCCATTCAAGGAATTGTTAACCAAAGACCTCAGTATAACATGTGCATCCAAAACACTACAATAGAGTGATTCAAGAAGGACGGAACTTTTAAATATTTACTTATAGTACTTCAAAAGTACATTCTTATTTATTCAAAAGCACATTCTTATTTATGAATGCAAAACTGATTTGTTTGATTTGTAGTCTCCGAGCATTCAATGCATTCGAGCCACTATGTATACTGGAAGAGTGAATCTGACGAAATGCCATCAGGATCCGAAGCTTGGAAACTGCACAGTCGTGCCGACCTTGTGCAAGTGCTTGTACAATGTGTACACAAACACGTGAGCCAACAACTACATGGAAGAACTGTATCTACAAATGAACACATCCAACAACGTTGGCATGAACCAGCACCGACAGCAGCAAGCAATGGGCTTCAGCCAGTCTCAAACACGAGAGTGTCATTCTTTCCATCCCGGTCTCAACCCAAGAAGTGGCGCACCTCCGCCGCCCACCGCTTTTGACATGTTCTTCGTCATCGTTTCTGGCCACCGCCTCCCTCGGATTCGGCGCATACCATTTCCTGCACACACGCAACGAATCAGCAATGGAGCAATTATCACTCTCTGGAGGAGCTGCGGCTCTGCTCAGCGCTACGGTGCTGGTTGCCCGAGGTGGTTACCAAGCTCCAGAATCCCGGCTAGACCACGCTTGCTCATGCCTCACATATTCATTTCATGACCTCACAGCTTCAAATCCCGAGAATTTCATGATAGCGAGCATGATAACCCATGGCTTACTCGTAGTGTTGGATCCCAGCTGGGACGAGGAGGTCGGACCCAAGCGAATCTTCGGTGCCGAGGTCTGCTTTCACAATGCGACAGAAGAGGTAACCTTTCAGGGATTACTACTTTGGTGATGCAAGCTGTATCTGGCATCCTGTCAACTGGACATTTCAAAACCAAAACCGAGCTCCCACACGTACTCACCCTATCCGGTAGTTCTCCTTGTTCCACAGGAAACGGAAGTTTCGAATTGTTAGGGTAATCGAAAAACTGCAAACGGACATGATGAAGGTGAGTTGGAAACTTGAAGGATCGTGTTAGGAACCGCTGTCCTAAATCAGAAGAGCGAAAACATGAGAATGTCCCGATAACAACACTGTCATTCACGGTCGAATTCCCATTGTGGATTCAGATCGAAACAACTCCACTCACATCATTATTGTCAGTCATGGTGAAACAAATAGCTCCCTAGAAGGACCGAAAGTTTCTCTTCGGAGCAGGCCTAGGTCGATCGTCCAGCTTCACAAAGGACTCACAATGCTTTGAGCCTCTTGGAGGTTGTCGTGACACTGCAATGCGAATGCAGCTTATATGGATATAGTGATGGTGCTTGACTCAGCCTTCGCCAAGCTCACAGACTATGCACACCGACTATGCCCGGCAGACATGTTTGTCTATTGAAAATCTTTGGTGACGGACGTCGCCAAGCAATGGCAGTGGCGTTTCTGAAACGCGCTTGCGTTTCGCTTCCGGTTGCGAATGTTCATAGCAGTTGTATCCAAGTGGTGGCGTCGACATTTCACTGAGGTGCTAGACAAATGTCGGCTGTGGTTCCTAGAGAAGCGTTTAGACAAGAATATTGTAGTTATATATTCTAGGGTTGTAGCTCTACACGTTATCGTTATTTTTAAATTTTTTCAACAGATTTTCATATTTAATTAATATTGAAAACATTGACTTAGATTTAATACTTAGAAATAGAGTTTAATTTATCCAATTTTCCAACTACAATAGGATTGAGGTTTTGAATTCACATGTTGTAACAAGTTAGTGAAAATTGTGTTGTGTTGTGTTTTTTTTTAATTTTTAATTTTTTTTTTTTAACTTTACTTCACTTCAGTGAAAAATTAATGGGCAAAATTGAGCAATTTGTTTTTCAAATGCAGATTGTGGATTGATGTATATATTCTTTGCACCCTTGTGAATCTAAATCTACATTTATTAAGGTAAGAATATCCAATGTTTTTCAAGTCACCATTTCTTTATTGGTTTATATGGATTTTCATAGAATGTTTCATTAATCAAAATCTCTTTTTTTAAAGGCCATAATTATTGCCAAAATTGTCTTTTTATTTTCAAATATAAAATCTAATTTATCTTAATATGCTTTAATAACATAAGTTTTTTAGAAATTCCATGTATATCTATTATTATTATTACAATTAATCAAGATTTATTAAATGATGATGTAATAAAAACACTTCCAAAATATTTTTGAATAGAAAGTTTGCAATCAATTTAAAGCTATCTTTATTAAAAAAAGTAAGAATATTTCTTATAAAATATAATTTTTTATTTTTAAAATTATAAATTTTAAGTTTTAAATTATATTTTTAGAAAAAATATAAAAATACAAAAAATATAATTTATAAGTTATATATATATAATATAAAAAAAATAAATTTAATTGATATTTTGAACTTTAATTAATACCTAATTATGTCATAATTGGCTTATCTTAAAGTTGGATTCTTAAGCTAAATTAGCCATATTAATAACTACTACAATTTAAAAGACTAGATTTGCTTTGACTCTCTTTAAGAACAAGCCACTTTGAATGCCTATATTATGATTAGTTTAAAAATAATAATATCAGTGAATGAATCAAGAAGTTTTAAATTTATTTTCTTATAGTTTGGTTATATGTTAGATAAGGAACTTTAATTAAAAAATTTAGTCATGATAAGATTTTGATTTTTTGATTTTTTTTTAATTTTAGAAGAGATTTGTTAGATATAACTTTATTCTGCATCAATAGACAAATTTCTAAAATAAAATCAACATCAATATAGATCAAATTTAAAGGAGAGTAGTTTGATGTAACAATTGTTTGGTTCAATTCAAAATGACAAAGATGGAATATATATCAAAGTGAATAAAGGTGAACATTGTCAAACATACAAGAATATATTAGTTGTTGCAATTGTCCTGTCAATGATAATGACAATTGATCTATGTAGCATGTCTTGGATAATTGTGCATTTTGATATCAATTAAGACAATCTCTTGATAGATACAACCAAAGATAAAACAATCAAATAGAAGGTAAAGCTTTACATAGTCAAGAGTAAAAGACCATAAATTCTTATAGATATATATATATATAGTTAAGTTATTCAAACTCTACCATCAAGATTATAGTTAAATCTTTATGCCAATTATCATTACTAAAAATTTATTATTTATTTATTTATTTATTTCTAATATTTTAATTTATTTATTTCTTATAATATATATATATATATATATATATATATATAATCAATTTATACAAAAAAATTAAATTATAGTTTTTTAGAATGTTTATATCATTTTTAAAGTAAATATCAAAGTTTAATAAAGATATCAATTTTAATTTCTATTGGTTTATATAGTGAGTATTAATTTATTGGCTATAATCATGAGACTTTATATTATAGGAGATTAATTAAATTTAATAATAGACATTAAAAAATGTGCATTTCTAAGATTACATAGGTTTGAAACAACCTTTATTCGGCCATCTTAAGTATCAACTAAGGCTTTTGGTACTAAATACCTATTAATTACGTATTTGAAGTTTTGAATAATTAATATAATGATAGAAATTTTTATTATAGATCTTTTATTAAAATTATATTAAAAAAATATTATTATAATGAATCTCTAATTTATGATCTCACAAATAGATTTTAATTGATAGAACTATCAAAAAAATATTTTTAAGTTATTTAAATAAAACAATATTTGGATTATAACGTTTTTTTTAATTATATTAGTATTTACTAGAATTTAGAAGAATTTATAGGTTATAAAAGTCTTATTAGAGATAAAACTATAAAAATAGAATCTTAGTATATCTTGTAAGATGTTTTTTCAATTATTTTAGTATTTTTTCTTATTATTAAGTATTAATGTTTAGTGATTAAGTCCAATATCTACATTAGCTTTCTATCTAAATATATTAGTTATAAAAAAACTATAAATATTAATTAGTGGTTAAAAAGAACAAGGTTCTTAGAATAATTAGGTACTTTTGAATACTATGATAAAGTCAAAAATAAAAAATATATATAATTTTTATTAATAGAAAATATAAGGATTAACAACTAATATAGTCCTTGTAAGAAGGAAGGTGCACAAGTCCCATATAGGTTGTAGTACCTTGAATGTAGGTAGAAAGATAAGATAAAGGCCTCATGACTTCTTTAGAATATGTATATATGCTACTTGTGAGCCTTGATGAGGTTCAAACTCTTCATTTCTTAAGCAAGTTATTGTTGAAGTAAAAATCATTCACTCAATTTTTTTATTATCTTTAAACTTTTATATTTTATTTATAGTAATTTATATTTATATATTTTTAATATCATCAAAAAGATAATTTAATTATTTATCTAAAAATATATATTTTTAATTTTTTAATTTATTTTATTAAGTAAAAATCTAGTGAACAAATTGTGAATAGTTTTATAGTATATACTACAAAACTACAAAATTAGTCACAATTTGAAAAAATATTAGAAATGAAATCAATTATTATATCACAAATAATTATTTTAATTTAAATAGTTGATTTTTTAAAATCATAGAAATTCTTATTAACCTTCAAAATCCAATTTTTGAGATTTTGTCAAAGATAAGAACTTGATGAAAGCAAAGAAATAAGTAATAATTTTTTTAAAGAAAGATGAAAAAATAAAAATAAGAAAGTATGTATATTCAAAAAGAAATAGAATGGCTATTGTCAAAAGACAAGAAAACTAAAGATCCTTGAAACTAGACTAGAAGCAAGAAAAGAATTAATAAGAGTGAAGAAGGCTTCACGCTTGCTTTTATATATACTATCTGTCTAGAAGCTATATGGCAATGTTTTTTAGGACCTCCAACATAAGTCCAATTTTTAAGACACATGTCTTAACTTATAAGGCAATTTTCTTATATGTGCATTACATGGTTAGTTTGTATCATAAGCTATCAATATATGCAATATATAACTAATTTGTTGGCCAAATGTTTAACCTAAAAATTACTTGTAGACATGTATAAAGGTGAAACCACATCTACAAAGCTTCTAAAAAGCTTTTCTACAAGTTATTATTAAATTAATTTATTTTTATCTTTTCATTGTATTTAGGTAATTGTTAGTGTAATTATATATATTCGTATTACTATTCCTTCTTCTAGGAACAAGTTCTACAAGGAACGATAATCATATGTTGATGAAGTCTAAGATGCAACAAATTGTATTTGCTACATATTTTGATCTTTATTCTTTTTGAAGGTAGTTGATAGGTCCTCTTAACTATTGTTTTTTGTTTCATTCTAAGGCAAAAAGATCATTGTAATATTTGATTATCATTCAAGCTTTTGTAACTTTTTAAAAAAAATATATTTGTAATACCATCAAGAGTTGTTCTTACTTCTAATAATATCACCAAATGTCAAGAGTCTCTTATAAGGTTGTAATATCAAATGCATTATTGAGATGTGTGGAGGTAAATTTTTCTCTCAACTCAAATTATACGATCGTCTCAATTAAGAATTACTTACAATTGGTGATATAAAGTGAAAGATATAATAGACAATAAAAAAAGAAAAAAAATATAAAATAAGTGAAATAAATATAATTAAGTAATTGCATATAATAAAAGTAATAAATAATCTATTCAATAATTTTTATCTAATAAAAAATAAAACATAATATATAAAAATATATTTTTAGTTAGATAATTTTATTATCTTTTTAATGACATAAGAAACATATAAATCCAAATTGCAATGAATAAATTATGAAAGTTTAAAGATAAGAAGTAAATAATTCAAAAGTTAAATTAAAATATTTTACCTTAAAAATAACTTGTTTATAAATGAAGGGTTTGAGCTTCACCAAGGCTCACATATTATACATATGGATTGCATAAAGAGGCCTTGAGGTCTTAGTCTTATCTTCCTACCTACATCCAAGGTGCTACAACTCATATAGAACTTGTGCACCTTCATTCTAACAAGGACTAGACTAGCTACTGGTCTTCCTATTTTCTGCTCAATTTTTTCGATTAAAAGCTAATAAAGAGTTTGATATGTTAGAAGATTCAATCAAGATATTATAATCTTTATATTATTATTATTTTTTTTTTAGTAAGAGTTAATTCTCACCATAGCTAAGCCTTTAATAGCTCCAGCAAATTCCTAACACTAAAAACTTCTGTCCTAACAGTTGTACGATTTGATCAATAGAATTAGATATATGAGTCTTGATGTAGTATAAGTAATGTATTTCAAGATTATGAGGCAATACTAAG